TTTGATTTTTAAATGATTTTTTTTTTCTTTTCAAAAAAAATCAATTTTTTATTTTTTAATTATCCAATCGCAATCGCAAATGTTCGAGGGAATCAGCTTTTGATTTTGAGAGGTTTGGAACGATATAAAACATCTTCCATGATTGTTGTCAAACGCCAACAACCGCTACCACCTGCGAACGTTGCGTTTGCGGGTGGTAGCAGGAGAACCAATCAACCCCTATAGTAATAGCGGTATGGAAAAAAATTTGTTACTTGTTGGAAAAGTTAAAGGGAGATTATGCCCGCCAGAAGGAGTTTGGAGCACTTTCATTTTGTAGAATGGATCGATAAGGATCCATATCATAAGAAAATAGATATATTAAACCCGTCTCGGGTTTGAGAAGTTGATTCTAAATCAAACATTCGATGAGGTGGTGACAAAAAGTAGTGATAGGAATGAAATAGGTTGAGTGCTAGAGAAGTAGCAAGGATACATCTCAATGAGTAGGCATTGACTCGTGTTTCATGCTAGCTAGCCGGGAAACTTCGTTAGAGTCACTTCCCCTACTCTTCGACGACTGATAATTTCTCTTCCTATGTGGAAAGTTTTGCGAATGGTCTATCTTCAGAAGATGTGTTCTATTCCGTCACCATCTCTCTTCTCTTTTCTCTTTAAGGAGTCCTTTTGGCGTTTCCTATAGTACTACGATGGCTAATTGTGCACTTTCAATTATAACATTGTGTTTATGTATAACACGTCATGTTTTTGGCGCCGTTGTTGGGGATTTGATACCGTTGCCCATAAATTTGTTTTTTTTCTTTCTAAATTTTGTTTTTCTTTGTCTATGTTTGGGTATTTTATGTAATGAACCTAAGAGAAAATAGGTTGTCTCAACAGGTAAAAACTATATTATTAATATTATCCAGTTGAATATTTCAGATATAAAGACATGGCGATGAACCAGTCTCAATTTCCACAAGATTCTAGCAATGGTATGCAAATACTAGTACCAGTGGATCAACAAAGGCAATTCCAACATCATTTTTAGAGAAATAATTTTATCCAAATACTTCACGAAGAGCTTTGGTTTTTGGACGAGTTCGTAGTTATATTTGTCTTCCCGAATACTACTATGTACCTCTACCACCACATCTACAGTTCTGAAGAAAGGTGTTCAACATTGATAGACATATACTTCGAATCTCAGAGGATAGTTAAAATCCAATATATATTATTTGGGAAGTGATTTTTTAGAGTTTGTTTACATGTCAACTCCACAATCACTTTTACACAAAAAAAATGTGACATGGTTTAAAAAAAGATGACACTTTTGTATATAAAATATATTTTTACTGACAATTATAATAAAGACAAAGAGATAACAACTGGACATACATATAAAGGAGATTAAAATTTACATCATACATTTTTGTATTTCGGTTAAGAAAACATCTAGGAAACAAATTCTCATCTTTTTATTTTTGTTTTTGGTTTTTAGCAATTAATGTTGTCATGTAAAATATTTATATTCATTCCATTTTATATATGCAATGTTCTTTAAATTAAGTAAGTATTCTTTAAATTGAAAATACATGAACGAGATCAAATTAATAAATATTCTTTAAATAATTTATTTGAATGATTTACCTTTTTTACATATTAGTTTTCTTATTTTAGTTATGAAATTATACAAAAGTGATAAAATATCACAACATTGCTGTAATTTCTTTAATACTAAAAAAATTATATTTAGTCCCTAAAACCAAACTGGATGTTGAACCCAATCGATTTTTCTTAAAATGCATATATATTTAAATTTATTTGAAATTAAATTATATGAACCGTACTCTATCGTCTTTGTAGATGTCTTTAATTTGAAAAATATTATTCATAAACCAAAAATTAAAAAAATTATAAAACTAAACTAAAACAAATCTGAATAGAACACTATTTACAATTGTTAACCATAAATGATAAATTACCTAATTTATTTGATTTTATAAAAAATATTAATGTGTGTAGAACGCGAGGATTCATCTAGTATAATTTAAAGTAAAAGTGGAAAGACTTTGCAACTGATTTCTCTAACATTGTTGAC